ACATTGCTATGGCCTTGGAGGTCACATACCGGGAACGGCTGCATAGAGTGTACAAGGAGGTCAAGAGTCGCATGGACTATCACATCTCTGTCCAGAACATGATGCGTCGGAAGGAACAAGAGCACATGGTGCAGTGGGTGGAGAAGCATGTGGTGCAGAGCATCTCTGCACAGCAGGTACCTGGTGTTTGAAGCTTCTGGACGTGGAGCGGGGTCTCTGACAGGTGTCCGCTGGTGGCCCGGCCAGTTTTTAGAGACAATCTGGTTGGTTTTTCTGAATGGTGGAACCTAGAATATGCTGCACCGCTACCTGGGTGGCTTCCGCCGCCTCCTTTAGAATTTGGCTAAAGGCCCCTTATCTCAGCTCAGAACAGTAGATTGTTCAGAACACTGGGTGTTGCAGACTGTGTTCAAATTCATCATTTGGGAAACATTAACCAACACATTTAATTTCTCTATAAAACAGACTGGACAAGGCTGTTTCTGAGCCCCTTCCATTTCTTAATTTCATGATTTTCATTCCATTCCTCTTTGCCAACACCTGACTTATTGGTCTTGAACAGAAATTTACCTATATTTGATTTCCTTTTTAAAAATTATGTTCTTTATTTACTTATGACATGATTTCTTCTTTCCCAGATATATAGTGTTATATTAATGAATTGTTTTTTATTTTATTATTTTTAAAAAATATATATATTTTATTGATTTTGTACAGAGAGGAAGGGAGAGAGATAGAGAGTTAGAAACATCGACGAGAGAGAGTCATCGATCAGCTGCCTCTTGCACACCCCCTACTGGGGATATGCCCACAACCAAGGTACATGCCCTTGACCGGAATCGAACCCGGGACCTTTCAGTCCCCAAGCTGACGCTCTATCCATTGAGCCTAACCGGTTTCGGCGTGAATTGTTTTTTTAATAAACTTTTATGTAAAAATAACATACACTTATCTTTAAAAGTTGGAAAATGTAAAAAAAAAAATGCAGCAAGTAAAAGAAGTTATTTTCATTCTTAAATCTGTATTGCTAATGTTTGCTCTTTCAAGCAGCTAGCAGCTGTATAGCTCACACCAATGACATGTGGTTTCAGGAGTAACTGGCTTCAAACTTGACAAGGATTTCACTTATAAAAGCTATGAGCCAGGGGATTTTTTAAAAATAAATTGTTTCTTCCCTGTGTAAATAAGTAAATAATTCCTATTAGTCTATGATATTAAGTCAGTAATACAACCAAAGATTGTGTAAGAATCTCAGGTTTTGTATGAGATAAGAATTATGTGTTTCTGTCTTTCCGTGATTTGGAAAGATCTAACCAGATTTCTCTTTCCTTATCACAGGAGAAGGAGACAATTGCCAAGTGCATTTCCGATCTAAAGCTGCTTGCAAAGAAAGCTCAAGCAGAGCCGGTTATGTAAATGCATCTCTCCTGACTGAGAGACCGCTAGAAACAGAGTGACTGACGGGAAACTAGGCTGTGACAAAAGCTTTCTATGTCGCCATCTGCTGGAGTTACAGTTTACACTACTTAAAAAAGAAAAGCGTGAGTTTCATCTAGTGAGAGAATTAAAACTATATTGGCCAGTAAGATGTTTATTGTCCTTCTTGCTCTGTATTTTGAGTTCTATAATCACTTTTGAATCAGCAGTTTCCTTTTACTACAGTTTTGAACCTGACTAAAGATTACCAAGTTATAATTTAAATTTGTAATTAAATTTGAAACAATAAATGACAGTTGAAACAATTTTTTTCAAATTGCATAATCTTCTGAAATACTATTTCAACATTTGCCATATGGATAAAAATTAAAGATGTCATTGAAATTATATTCTTGTTTATAAGATCATTATTATTGATTGGTAAGCTGCTTCTGGCTAATTGACAGATTATGGACAATTTAAGGGTTCTTAAAATAATGAAAGGGAATATTGTACATCAAGCCATTCCATTTACTTTGTATTAATTTTAGTAGTATATCAATGGAAAATATTACCAACTCAGTGTGTCGTAAAATTGCTTTTAAGAATCCAGTAGATAGCCCTAGCTGGTTTGACTCACTGTATAGTGTTGGCCTATGGACTAAAGGATCCCGGGTTCTCTTACTGTCAAGGGCACGTACCCGTTTGCAGACTTCTCCCAGGCGTGGGCCCTGGTTAGGGCCCATGCAGGAGACAACCAATCGATGTGTTTCTGTCTGTCTTTCCCTTTCTCTTTCACTCCCTAAAAATCAGTGGAAAAATAACTTTGGGTGAGGATTAACAACAAAAAAAAAGAATCCAACAGATAAATCAGAAAGTTCTGCCCTTCCATAGGTTTGTCTGCATTTCTTTCATGTTTACATGTTTTACTTGTACACAAATGGGCAACTTACATAATAGGAAATATTTGGAAATATGTATCATATGAGTAATTACTATTTTCTTGACTTCCTATGATTTTAACTTATGTAAAATTGGACTAATATTTATTGATGGCTAATATATTCATTTACTCTAGAAATCAGATTGTATAAGGAATTTGATTTGATGCTGTCAGTGAGCTGGTTAAAGCAGTCCCTCTCTTTGTTTCTAATGCAGGAGCTTGAAGTTCACAGAACAGCCAGTTAAGAAGGGATTATGGATATAAAGTGGGAGAGGGTAGGAATGAGTGAAAATCACAAGTACACACTGACATCATCAGTTTTATTACCTCTGACCTTGATGGTAAGATTGTCCTACAAAACCCCAGGCCCTTCATCACACATACGTAGTCCGAAGGTTGGAGAAGCTGAAGGATGACCCAGGGAAAGATTGGGAAGTTGCAGACCTGGCTACAACGGAACTGGTGGACCAACAGATGACAACATACATGGGCTGCAAAATAGTCGCCTCACATCCGCCCTCTAAACTTGCTCAAGAATCTCTTGCAGCTCACTCTCACTAGAATATTCAAGGAAGAGAATTCTGAAACGTATAGTTCAGTCTAACCAAATCGATGTTATGAACCACCATATGTTAACTATACTGCCAAATGTTAACCGAATGAGTAAAACTTAAAGCAAAAATTCTGGTCCTTAGAAGTCAATGAAAGCATCTATTAAGATAGTAAAACAGAAAAGCCACAGGTTGGAAAAGAAATGGTGTCTGGCTGGCATTGAGAGGAAGTTAGCCAAGGAAGATGGGATTGGAATCCAGGAAGGTGGAGCAGCATCTGAGTGTAGAGAAGCCCTGGAGGAGAGTAGCATTTTTTAAACTCAAGAAGTTAAAGAGTAAAACATTAGTAAGGAATTATATTCCAGTCCCTAAATTCTATGCTTGGAAGTTGGACATTTGTTCTGAAGACAGGAAGCCAATGAAAAAGGTCTGAAGCAGAGAAATGATGACTAGATTCTTGTTTCAGAACAATCGGTAGCAACAAGAGGGTGGTTTGGAGATAGGATTTTGGCTCATTCTAACTAAAGGACATTGAAGACCTTAACTAAAGGCCTTAGCAGTGTGGGTGGGAAGAAAGGAATTACTAGAAATACTAGAGGCAACATTAGTAGGACTTGAGCAGGGAGACTATGGAAGAAGGAGTGATGAGTTAGTTTTCTCGCTTGAGAGAAGAAAAGGAGGCACTGTTTACTGTGATTTGGAATAGGAGGATGTCTCTTGGTCTAGATCAGTGGTCGGCAAACCGCGGCTTGCGAGCCACATGCGGCTCTTTGGTCCCTTGAGTGTGGTAAGGCCACTTTTTCAAAATAGACTCGCCCAGGCCAAAAACTGACTTCTGCACATGGGTCACGAAGTTTCAATCGCACTGTACATGCGCGCCCACACGTCGTACTTTGTGGAAGAGCCACACTCAAGGGGCCAAAGAGTTGCTTGTGGCTTGCGAGCTGCAGTTTGCTGACCACTGGTCTAGTGAAACTCCAACTCCCACCTCGGGTTTGGCTTGTGTCTCTCCAGGAAGCCCACCCTGGTTCCTGTGTCACAGGCACACACAGCCTGAGGGGCCTGCTCCTTCACAGCCATGGGGCTGCTATCCTTCCTCTGGTCCCAGCCTCCTCCTCAGAGTTCCATGAAGGCAGGGAAGGCCGTTCTTTGCTCACCACGGTATCCTCAGAACTTATGCTCATACATGGCACAAATAACGGTTCACTGTGGCGTGGGTGAAAACATGAATTCTCTTAGCCACTGAGATTCAAAAACTTGGCATCATCATCAAGGTGACCAGACGTCCTGCTTTTTAACAATTTGTCCCGCGTCCCGCGGAGTTTTAAAAGTATTCGCTGTGGGACGCGGGACAAATGGTTAAAAATCGGGACGTCTGGTCACCCTATCATTGACTCATCCTGCTGTTTCATTCCCGGAACCATGCCCCACGTCTTAGAACTTCCAGCCTTCAAGCAGGTTTCCTGGGGCTTCCTCCCTGTTCCTTCTGCTGGTGCCTCTATTAAATACCTAAAATGCTGCCCGACTCTCCTGGCTTATGTCCTCCTCTCTTCCTCTTCCCACACCTCATCTTGTGGATGTGGTGGAACCTTCTTTAACGGCCATGTTTATTGTATTCCAATTCAAAAATCGTTTGTGGCTCCTTATTAACACAACATTTATTGCTTGGATTGAGAGGCCTCTACGATTTGGCTGAAGTACATCTTTGGAACTGTTTTTTACTTCCCACCTGTTACAAATGCTCCACCCTTCACCCTTGCTGATATCTCAGAAATCCATCTTGGTGCCTGAGGCACTCCTCACTCACATTGTTTCTCCTCCCTCCGTCCAAACCCCACCCTTGCGCCAAGCCCAGCCCCAGGCGTGGGCATATAGCTTACCCAGGATATATGCCCACACCTCATTAGTAATAGTAAACTCATCAGTCCACAGAGCCAAATATCAACAGTACGTACAATGATTGAAATTTCTTTTTGAGAGCCAAATTTTTTAAACTTCTAACGCCACTTCTCCAAAATAAATGCATTTTGTGGAAGAGCCACACTCAAGGGGCCAAAGAGCCGCATGTGGCTCGCGAGTTTGCGGACCCGTGGGCCTAGCCCTAGTCTGATTCCCAGCTCTGCTAGCTCCTCCCTCATTGAGTTCCCCTGTTCTCCCAGTCCTCGCTGCCTGGCCACCTCTGTCCTGTCCTATGGTTCTCACCGTACGTGCCTGCACCTGCTCCTTCCAGTCACCTGTGTTCTCTAAAGACGTCCTCTCATTCACTCGCGAGCATGGCATCCTGCTGCTTCTCTTCATGGCCTTTAAGGCAACCCAGGATGATCCCTTCGCTCATTTAGCACATCTTTCCAATTAGATGGTAGCGCCAACAGGAACCTCTCTGTCTTGCTCTCAGAATTACCCACCACACCCAGCCCACTGTACGACCCATCGTAATTATTTACTGAGTATATTTATTGATGCTGTTTTATGAATAGACGTTTATAAATGATTTGCCTTCTCTTTCAAAGGCTCTCCATGCTCAACACACAGTCTGCACACCGGGCACTTAACTCTAACATGACTGTCCAGTGTCTTTTATTGCTTAGAATAAATGACAGTGCGATGCTTGATGACAGGGATCATGTCATACTGCTGTGACCCCCATAGTATCCGCCGTGTGGTTGCTCCATGTGTCCGTAATTAGAAATAAAGTCTTATCCCTTGTGCTCGAACATTCATGTGTCCAAAGATACGAAAGTTTTCTGCTTATGGGATTAAAAAAAATTCAGTGTTGGCCTCAAAGAGGAAGTCTGCCCTCAAGTTTAGTTGATTGACAGTGGCAGCAATTATTTCGTCATTTCTAAAAACTAAGACTAGCCACGGAAGCAAAAGTTCAGTTTTAGACGGGGCATTTCGTGACTGGACTTTTCAAGGTAAGTGCCTTTATCCCACGTTTTTAATCTAACACAGGATAATTGCTCTCCAAAAAAAAAAAAAAAGTCTTCCCATTGGTAATGGTTTCTATCATTTATTTTTCTTTACAACTTTATTTGGTGTGTGTGTGTGGGGGGGAAGGGTTATATTTGAATGCCTGTGTTGAGTTGGTTAATTTAATGGCAATCTGGAAGATTCTCTCTGGTGCCTGACAAAACGTGAAAGGGTATGTATGGCATCGTTTCTATTTTAATTTATGCTTCTGTGACTGTGTGTGTTTTTAAAGGGACATGTGTTTCTTTTCTCAACCTGGATCTGTAAGTGGCTATGGCCCTGTGGTTTTGTGGGATGATTTGGTCTTTCAGGGTTGGATGACTCAACTTTTTGTCCAGGTGGCTGAGGTAACGTTTTTTTGGGAGAGTAGCAGATTCAGAGGCACTCATGTAAAGGTTAAGATTATACAGAGCCCTAGCTGGCTTGGCTCAGTGGATAGGGCGTCAGCCTGTGGACTGAAGGGTCCCAGGTTAGATTCCAGCCTAGGACACATGCCTGGGTTGTGGGCTTGATCTCCAGTAGAGGGCATACAGGAGGCAGCCAATCAATGATTCTCATCATTGATGTTTCTATCTCTCCCTACTTCTCCCTTCCTCTCTGAAATCAATTATATATATATATACACACACACAGAAATCTACCATGCTCTTCTATTCCACCTCCCAGGGGTAAGATCTAGTATAAATTAATAAGATTAGTCCCTACTCCATTTATTTAGCACAAACATGTATTTCAATATATTTAAGCACAAACATGTATTTCAATATATTTAAAATGCTATCTAAATATTTTATGGTGCTTGACAAAGAGGATCATTGCCTTTTGAGTGAAAACAGGAACAGAAAAAGTGCTGGGAAGCTAGTTTCCACTGCTGATTCTGCAATTTATGGTGAGCGTCCGGTTCTCCCGGGTCACACTTCTCTCACCCGCTTCCCCTGCGGCCTTTCTCACTGTCCCACACGCATGATCTGAAAACATCTGGTCTGATTGTGAGGTACTTCATAGAAGGTTGCTGTTGCTACTGGTCCCTGGCAGTGAGGTTCTGCTTCCAAACCTCCCTGATGCCACAGAACTTGGAGGATTCACTTTTGAGAGCTGAACAAATCACTAGTGGCATTTGTTGTCTAAATAAATTACCTTTAAAACACAATAGATACAGCAAAGCCAAAAATTCTTAGAATGGGTTTACTTAAATATGAAATGAAATTGTGGCCTCCTAGAACTGTAAATAATAGGGAACTGGTTAAACAAGCCATAATACACAGCTGTAACAGAAAAATCTATCACCATGAAAAATATTTAGAGGAAGTTTTTAGTGGAATGAGAGAATGTCTATGATAAAAAGCTTAGTGTGGGTTTTTTTTAATGGATATATGAAGATATATCTCAACTAGCCTTTTAAAACATGCATGGCAAACACTCTGATTTCACTTATATGTGGAATCTTTAAAAATCAAACTCATAGAATAGATGCCAGTGACAGACGAGGGCATGGGAGGTGTTGAAAATTGGTGAAGATAGTCAAAGGTATAGACTTTCAGTTACAAATAAGTCCTGGAGACAGCATGGTGATTCTCCTAAATAATAAAAGGCTAATATGCAAATCGACCAAATAGTGGAACGACCAGTCACCATGACGCACACTGACCACCAGGGGGCAGACACTCAATGCAGGAGCTGGGTTCACGGCTGGTGAGCACAGCAGTGGTGGCAGGAGCTTCTCCTCCATGGCAGAGCTAAGGATGTCCAGGGAGTGGGCCATTGCCGTCAGTATGACATTCCCTGAGGGCTCCCAGACTGAGGGGGCACAGACCAGACTGAGGGACCACCCCCCACTGTCCCAAGGGCACAAATCTCGTGCACCCAACCTCTAGTAGTTAATAATACTGTATTGCACATTCTAAAATGTGAGAGTAGATCTTAAACATTTTTATCATAAAAAAAAGTGTAACTGAGATGATGGATGTTAACTGAACTCATTTGATACGTATATCAAAACATTAATTGGTATACCTTAAACTAATACAATGTGATATTTCAATTATATCTCAATAAAATGGGGGGGGGAGTGAAAAACTAAAAATATTTAGAATTCGTGGAAGTACAAAAAAAAATGAAATACCCTAAAATGTTAAACTATGGGAAGTGGTGGTTTAGATGACTTGACTTCTGCTTTTTGGTGCTTTATACTTTTTGGTACAAATACATAAAAAAAAAATTAGAGGGAAATATAGAAAGCTTGATATATAACAAATAGGACCATAACCAAGGTGAGAATGTTTTCACTCTAAAAGACAATATGAAAACAGAATAGAAGAGTCTGATGGAACCTAGCGGAAGGACATCCTGCAACAAAAATTTGTAAATGTTCACTCCATACTGCCACGGGAGGGAGGCAGATGCATCAGACCTAGATGATACTCAGTTCAAAATATCCTTCATCTCCCATCCTTATTTCAATTCCATGCTTACCAAGCAAAATTAAGTTTTTCATTGGCTTTCTTAAATGTTCTGGTTGCTACTCGTTATACCAACACGTTCCTTATGTCATTTCAGTTTATACACCAGTCTCTGAGTTGGTTCGTGGAAGTTCTTGTGTAGTCAATTCTAGGTGCCCTGATAAGATCAAATTCCTGGACCTGCAGAGCTGAGGACTGACTGCTGAGCTGTGGCAACCACCCCACATAAAGTCTGTGACCACCGACCTCACTAGAACACTCGTCATGACTTGCCTCTCCTTGTTACTGCTCCTCTCTCGAGGTCCAGGTTGACCCGTCCACTGCCTTTCCTTTCCAGGCTTTCTCAGAGATTCCTTCTTTATTTCGGGGGAAGACAGAATGGGAGGAGGTGCATCCAAAGAGGATACCAGCACTGGTAAGTTCAGGGCAGAAACCGTTATCTGCCTCACGGCCGGGTGAATGTGAACTGGAATAATTGGAAAGTGTGCTGAATGGCTGTAACGGGACAACGTTTCTGAGGTTGGAAGGATCAGAATTCACCATGATGTGTAATATCAAGGAGAGTGAACAGGGGAAGCAGAGAGAACTGTCTGATCCTCTGAGTTTGAGAAGAGTGCCTCTTTGCTTGGTATTAGACCAGTTGGGTGGTTTGCGGAATCTAGCTTACTTCCCTTACTCCCCACCCCATTTGTGGTGTGAGGGTTGGGCAAACTCACCGGGGCTGCCTTTGGCTTCACTGCAAACAAATGAAAGGAAAAAAAAAAAATCATAAGGCAGCGGGTGCCAAGGTAAGGTTCCCAAGGAACCAACTAGTGTTGGGAAACACTAGTTCTAAGATTCACTTTAGATACTCGACTCCCTGGCCTTGAGATTCTCTGAGGGAGACACAGGAGATGTTTTTGTTTATCAGAGGGATATATGGGCTTATCAAAGGACATACGCTAGGCTTTTATTTGTGTAGCTGGTGGTTTTTTAAGTCCCTGTTCTAATTTCTATGTTAAAGTACCCAGGACCTAAGGCAGGATGTTCTCTCCATTTGAGGAGTCGTAGCCCCTGTCTTTATCTCCACTGGTTACTTGGATAAGTGGCAGATACATTAATCCCCTTCATGTTCTCTCATAGGCAAACAAATCCACACCACAGCAGCTCCAAAAAGTACCTCTGCACCCTGCCCTTCCGAGTAAGTGAGCATTCTCCCACCCACTTCCTCTTATACTACACTAGAGGCCCGGTGCACGAAATTTGTGCACGGGGGTGGGGGAGGCACCCCTCAGCCCAGCCTGCACCCTCTCCAATCTGGGACTCCTAGAGGGATGTTTGACTGCCCTGTGGGATCAGGTCTAAATGGGCAGACGGATATCCCTCTCACAATCCAGGACTGCTGGCTCCCAACTGCTCACCTGCCTGCCTTCCTGATTGCCCCTAACCACTTCTGCCTGCCAGCCTGATCACTCCCAACCACTCCCATGCCAGCCTGATTGATGTCTAACTGCTCCCCTGCCAGCTTGTTTGCCCCCAACTTTTCTTCTCTGCTGGCCTGATCACCCCTAACTGCCCTCCTCTGCAGGGTTGATCACCTCCAACTGCCCTTCCTTGCAGCCTGGTGACTCCCAACTGCCCTCCCCTGCTGGCCATCTTGTGTCCACATGGGGGCAGGATCTTTAACCACATGGGGGCAGCCATCTTGTGTGTTGGAGTGATGGTCAATCTGCATATTACTCTTTTATTAGATAGGATAAAGGCCTGGTGCATGGGTGGGGGCCAGCTGGTTTTCCCTGAAGGGTGTCCCAGATCATGGTGGGGGTTCCCTTGGGGCAATGGGCAGCCTGGGTGAGGGGCCTGTGGTGGTTTGCAGGCCAGCCACGCCCCCTGGCAACCCAAGCAGAAGCCCTGGTATCTGGGATTTATCTTCTATAATTGAAACTTTGTAGCCTTAAGTGGAGGCCAGGGCAAGCCAGGGCTGCAGAAAGCTTGGTTTCCTCCATCGCTGGGGAGCAACTCGAGCCTCCTGCTCTCTCCAGCTATGTGGCTGCCGCCATTTTTGTTGGGATTTACTTATCTTCTCTAACTGAAACTTTGTAGCCTTGAGTGGAGGCCAGGGCTGGCCAGAGCGGTTGGGAAGCTTGCCTTCCTCCATTGCCAGAGAAACTGACACCTCCTGCTCGCTGTGTGACCACAGCCATCTTGATTGGGTTAATTTGCATACTTGCATACTTGGCTTGTGGGCATAGCAGAAGTATGGTCAATTTCCATGTTTCTTTTTTATTAGTGTAAATATCACATCTTCTTTATTCGTTTGTCTATTGGTGGACACTTAGGTTGTTTCCATATCTTGGCTATTGTAAATAATGCTGCAATGAACATAGGGGTACATGTGTCTTTATAATTAGTGTTTTGGATTCCTTCAAATTCTACATAAAAGTACATAAAGCAGTTCCATTTTTTATTTCTTTAGGAACCTACATACTGTTTTACATAGTAACTGCACCAATTTATAACCCACCAACATTTCACGAGAGTTCCCTTTTCTCCACATCCTCGCCAACACTTATTATTTGTTGATTTATTGATGATAGCCATTCTGACAGGTGTGAGGTGATATCTCAATGTGGTTTTAATTTGCATTACCCTGGTGTTGGATACACTTACATATGTTTATTGGCCACCTGTATGTCCTCTTTGGAGAAATGTCCACTCAGGTCCTCTGCCCATTTTTTAACCAGTTTGTTTTCTTGGTGGTGTTTTATGAGTTGCTTATATATTCTGGATATTATTGAATCTATCATTGGCAGTAGATTGTCGTTTTGTTTTTATTTTTTTAAAATCTATTTTATTGATTTTTTACAGAGAGGAAGGGAGAGAGAGAGCTAGGAACGTCAATGAGAGAGAAACATCGACCAGCTGCCTACCGGGGATGTAACCGCAACCAACGTACTTGCCCCTGACCGGAATCGAACCTGGGACCTTTCAGTCCACAGACCGACGCTCTACCACTGAGCCAAACCGGTTTTGGCTGTTTTTATTTTTTATTATTTTTTATTATTTTCCAAAAAATATATATTTTATTGATTTTGTACAGAGAGGAAGAGAGAGAGAGAATTAGAAACATCGATGAGAGAGAGTCATCGATCAGCTGCCTCTTGCACACCCCCTACTGGGGATATGCCCGCAACCAAGGTACATGCCCTTGACCGGAATCGAACCCGGGACCCTTTAGTCCCCAAGCCGACACTCTATCTATTGAGCCAAACCAGTTTTGGCTGGCTGTTTTTATTTTTGATGGCTTTCTTCACTGTGCAAAAACTTTTTAGTTTGATGTAGTCTCATTTTGTTGTTGAGATCTTTCCCTTGCCCCAAAAGAGACATCCAAAAAGGTATTACTAAGAGCAATGTCAGAGAGTTTATTGCCTATGTTTTCTTTTAGGAGTGTTATGATTGCAGGTTTTACTTTTTAAGTACTTAATCCATTTTTGTTTATTATTGTATATGGTGATCCAGTTACATTTTTTGCAAGTGTCTGCTCAGTTTTCTTAACAGTGTTTATTGAAGGGACTATCTTTATCCAACTGTATATATTCTTTCCTCCTTTGTCAGAGATTAACCACAGAGGCATTGTTTGGTCTTTACCGAAAGGAGGCAGGCCAAAGATGCTGTGAGGGTTTAAGAAATTTTATTACTTTCTCTCACAGGCAGCTGAGACCAGTGTGTCAGTGTCAGCCCTGAGGGGGTGGTTACGTTCTCTTATATAGGGAAGAAGTATGCAAAAATAGGGTCAAGATGTGTGTGCACAAGTTGGTCAAGCAGTTGGGCAGGAGCTGGTCAAGGGAGGAGAGTAAACAAGTCAGTCAGAGGGAAGGTCTTCTTATCTTGCTTCTGCAGGCACCAGCCATCTGTTCCAAGCTATGGGGAAAGGCTTATGACAATACATATTTCAGAAAACATGTCCAAGTAGGAGAGATTAGGGGTAGTTCATCTTAACAGGCATGGGTTTATTTCTGGGTTCTCTATTCTGCTCCATTGACCTATGTGTCTCTTTTGATGCTAGTATCATGCTGTTTTAATTACTATAGCCTTGTGGTATAGTTTGATATTAGCATGATACCTCCAATTTTGTTCTTCTTTCTCAAGATGGCTTTGGCTATTCAGGGTCTTTTATGGTTACACACAAATTTTAGGATTATTTGTCCTAATTATGTGAAAAATGCTGTTGATGTTTTTGTAGAGATTGCATTAAAATCTATAGATTGCTTTAGGTAGCATGGACATTTTAACGATGCTAGTGCTTCCTATACATGAGTACAGTATATGTAGCCTTTCATTATTTGTGTCGTCTTCAGTTGCTTGCTTTAATGTCTTATAGTTTTCAGTACAGATCTTTTGCCTCATTGGTTGAATTCATTCCTAGGTATTTCATTCTTGTTGATGCAATAGTAAATAGATTGTTTTCTTAATTTTTCTTTCTGATAGTTTGTTATTGATGTATTAAAAATGCAGCCAATTTCTGGTTATTAATTTTGTATCCTGCTATTTACTGAGTTAATTTATTCTAATAGCTTTTGGTAGATTTTTTAGGGTTCTCTCTATATATATCAGGTCATCTGCAAATAAAAGACACTTTTACTTCTTCCCTTCCAATTCAGATGCCTTTTATTTCTTTTTCTTGACTTATTGTTGTGGCTAGGACTTCCAATGCTATGTTAAATGAAACTGGTGAAAGTGCATGTTCTTGTCTTTGTTTCTGATCTTAGAGAAAAAGCTTTTAGCTCTCACCATGGAGTATGATGCTAGTTGTGGGTTTGTCATATATGGCCTTTATGATGTTAAAGTATGTTCCCTCTATCCTCATTTTGCTGAGAGTATTTATCATAAAGAGATGTTGGATTTTATCCAATGCTTTTTCTGCATCAATCTGATATAATTGTATGCCCCCCCCCATTTTGTTTCTGTGGTATATCACATTAGTAATTTGTGTATTCCGAACTCGCCTTGCATTCCAGGAATAAATCCCACTTGATCATAATGTATGACCTTTTTAATGTATTGCCGAATTCGGTTTACTAAGAATTTTTTGCGGATGTTTATGTCTGTGCTCATGGCCTAGAGTAGTTTTCTTTTGGGTGGGGGGGGCAGTGTCTCTGTCTGGTTTTGGTACTAGAGTAATGGTGGCCTTATAAAATGAGTTTGGGAGCTTTTTCTCCTTCAGTTTTTGGAATAGATTTAGAGCTAGGAATGTTTTTTTAGAGGGAAACGGAGTTCACAGCTTTCATTGAGGCCTCACATGGATCTGAAACCTGAAACCAAAAAGTTGAAAAGCAGTAGGAGGTGTGAAAGCTGTTTTAGAGGAAAAGATTACACTCTGATCTTTAGGAAAGGCCTTCAAAAAGCCCAGAAGGTCATCTGTTTTCTCTTTTTTGCCACAACAGCAAAGAACTTCATCTGGCCTTAGCCTTTCTTGCTGGAAGTCTACTGACATTGCTGCTGATGGCCCTTGTCTTCCTCATCGCAAAGAGCTACAGAAAATGTGAGTGGCCTCTGAGAGATGGGGCAGTGATTCTTTCTCTGCTGTTGAGAATAGAGTTGGCCTGGAATGGCTCCTGGAAAGAAGGGGATAAAACCTGCTCAGCCCGCCTTCTCTGCAGACCACAGATTTGAATTCCTCCACTTCTCAGCTACCCTCCAGCCCCTCCACCTTTCCACCTGCACCGCCTCCCTCCCTGCCCCACCCCTTCACCCAAGACGGAAGGGAGAGGCTTCTAAGGCCTCCAGTCCCCATTGGTGAGATGTGTCCCTTTCTTATGGCAGATCACTCAAGTCCCCGAGCTCTGGATCCTAACTCAGATTCTCTTGCCAAGGTAAGTTGACCACGCTGTTTCCATGACACTGGAGACCTGCTGCCATTGGAATTTCCCTCTATGCTCTATGGCTTCTCCGCTAAATAGTAGCATTGCTCTCTGGATGCTGGGTAGTGATGCTTTGAAGGGTTCTTCTGGTCGCTGGGTCTTCTCTTGACTGAAGCTTTCAAGTTGCTTCTGAAGAGACACATTTCTCCAAATTGAACTCGCTCATTCCTCCTCCTTCTTCCTCTGTAGCTGCAATCCACCCAGGAGGCACTCAGAACCTCAAAAGGAAAGAGAGACGACTTGATTGCAAATCCTTCTTCAGACTCGAACTCCGTTGTCTATGCTCAGATTAAAGGGGCAAACTTTCCCTGAGTTTCCAATGAGGCTTGAATCCGGTTCCTCTCACGCCAGCTGCATCTTCTACATGGCTTTTTCTTGGTAGATGTGCACCGCAGTCTGGGTGAGACTGCAGATGGAGTTGTTTGGGTGTGATCTGGCAACCTGAGCCGTCAGTTTTGTGACCAGGGTCAGTCTTTTTCCTGGATCTCCCACCTGGACTAACAAAACAAAGGCCCCTGAGGGCCGAGACTGCCTCTCTGTGTCCTCTTCCACAGTGTGTGCTACAGGCTCAGTGCACCAAGAGTGCTCACTCAGTGTCATCGATCAACGTGGGAAGAGGCAACCAATCTAACAATCTATCAAGAATTACAAATAAAAGCAAACCCTCTGTGATGTTGGCAATTCTTCATCATGTGACCCTGTTACCTCCAGATACCAGGGCCAAAAGATCTCCAAGTGATGTTAAAGGAAAAGGCATGCAGTTGAACAGATTTCTGCATATTCTTGATTCATGTAGAAAATACCTGTGTGTGTGTGTGTGTGTGTGTGTGTGTGGCCCATACATGCGTGCACACCTGTGTTTGTATCCTAGATACAGAGTATTCCAAAAAATGTAACACATTTTAATAGCTGAAAGCTCAATTTTGAAAATGAAATGTATTTTAATGAACACTGCCTTTATAATTATTCAGAGTGTGTATATACATTTTTTGGAACATCTGATATTTAGTTTGTCTCCAGAAGGAAACACTATTAACTGGTCTTAGTGATCACCCCTAATCACTTGGTATCTGAGGGACTGAGGGGTGGCATGGAAGGACATAGGCTTTCTCTTAAATGCCTTTTGTAACTTTTTAAAGAATATGTTTTTATTGATTTCAGAGAGGAAGAAGAGAGAGAGAAACATCAATGATGAGAGAGATCATTGATTGGCTGCCTTCTGCATGCCCCCTACTGGGGAGGGAGCCACAATCCGGGCATGTGTCCTTAACTGGAATTGAACCCAGGACTCTTCAGTCCGCAGGCTGACATTCTATCCATTGAGCCAAACCAGGTAGGGCCTTTTGTAACTTTTAACATTCTTCCTTTACCTGTTGCACATCTTCAGGGGCCTGATATCTAGTGCTCATTTCCCCACCAGAACTCTAAACCAACTGAGAGAGAAGAGTACTCGGTAGACAGAGAACGAAGTGCCATCTTTATTACAGAGTTCACGCTGGAGAGGACAGCGAGTCCTGGAGCTGCAGATAGTGGGCTTCAGACCAGTGAGCCCCGTGGGGACAGAGCTGCCCCGAGGCAGGTGCCCTGCCCACCCACCCGGCGCCCGCTATCCCCACGCGCTTCAGCACAGGGCACGTGCTCTTTGTAAGCTACACCAAAGATTAAAAAAGAGGAAGCACAGAGCAGGTACGCCCAGTTCTGCCCATCTCCCACTTCACATAGGTCACTGCACCTCCAAAGGGGCATCGCTAAGGAGTGTCACCCCAATGAGGCTCAGTGCACAGGGAAGGAAGCAAGAGTGTGTGTGTGTGTGGGGGGAGGGGGTACCTCCTCCTCAAACCTCTTTTAAAAATATATTAAATAATGTTAAAGTTCGTAGAGCTGACATAATCTACCCAAGGTCTCCAGCCAGCATGTAGTAGAACAAAATCGAAACCAGATCCTCTGACTTCTGATTCTTGCCTCTGGCCTGCACTGCCCGCTGCCCCAGCACGAATAGGGGCAGAGAAATCAGACAGGTGAGGGGCAGGCCACACGGGCAGGGGAGCATGGTTATTTTGAGACAGAGCGGCTGCTCCTGACAGCTGGCTTTTAAAAAATATATATATATTTTATTGATTTTTTTACAGAGAGGAAGAGAGAGGGAGAGAGAGTTAGAAACATCGACCAACTGCCTCCAGCACACCCCCGACTGGGGATGTGCCCACAACCAAGGCACATGCCCTTGACTGGAATCGAACCCGGGACCTTTCAGTCCACAGGCCGACGCTCTATCCACTGAGCCACACCGGTTTCGGCTGACAGCTGGCTTTTGAGGAGAAAATGGAATTGGGGTTTGATCGAGGGGGCTAACGGGTCCAGGAGAAAGACTAGTTAGGGATGCAGGCTTGCGAAAAAGCCTGGGCACAGCAGAGCAGGCAGCCCCAGGAGGGCAGCAGAGCGCCACCAGTTCCCTCCTACTCCCCCCCCTGCCGCAAGGAGGCCCCATCCACTTCCTTTATTTTTTCTTTTACGATTGACTTTTTCTCTTTAAAAGGTTTTTTCTTTCAATATATCTTATTGATTTTTCACAGAGAGGAAGAGAGAGGGATAGAGAGCTAGAAACATTGATGAGAGAAACATCCATCAGCTGCCTCCTACACACCCCCCACTGGGGATGTGCCCGCAACCAAGGTACATGCCCTTGACCGGAATCGAACCCGGGACCCTTCAGACTGCAGGCTGACACTCTATCCACTGAGCCAAACAGGTTTTGGCACAAAAAAAAATAAAAATAAAAATAAAAATATATATATATATATATATATATTTATATTAATTAATTTCAGAGGGAGGGAGGGAGGGAGAGAGAGAGAGAGAGAGAGAGAGAGAGAGAGAGAGAGAGAGAGAGAAACATCCATGAGGAGAGAGAATCATTGAATGGCTTCCTCCTGTGCACTGGGGATCAAGCCCACAACCAGGGCACGTGCCCTGACCAGGAATCGAACTGTGACCTCCTGGTTCATAGGTTGATGCGCAACCACTGAGCCACATCACCACTGAGCCACACTGGTTGAGCCTCATTTATTTTCAGAGGTTCCCAAACTATAGAATGACATCAAACAATCCTACCCACCCCTATGCTAGAAGCCACGTCTGCTTCTCGGTTCAAGCCAGTTCCTTAGCAACAGCTGGGAACCAGCTCCTTAGCCACGTGCATGTGAACCATCAGATTCATTGTTTCCCCTCTGTTTTCATGAAGCTTCCCATTTTGAACAGCAGAGCTCTGTTTTCAAAGTCTTGTTTCTGTCTCCCTGTCATGAAGAGTGGTGTGCAGCTAGCCTTGCTGGAGAGCGAGATGAGTGAGTGAATGACTGACCATTGATTGGGAATCTGCAGGTGAGGGGAGAAACGAGGCCCTGGATCCTGGAAGCAGACAAGCCCTCAGGGCCCTCAGGGAGGTAGTTTCCCACACAGGTAAGAGCGACTCTCCCAAGACATCCAGAGTGGCTTCGTCTTTCGGGGAAGGTGGCTGTCTGCTCTCTTGCCTGGCGTCGTAGGAGGTTCTAACCGAGCCTGGACTGGGTCGCTCTTTGTAGTGGCTCCTCCAGTGAGTTGGGTGCATGGCCACAGGGGAGGGATCAGGGCTGGTGTGCGGCTGAGGGATAAGGCGGCACTTTGATGTTTGATCTAAGGTTCTGGAAGGAAGGGGGACTGGCTGTATGGAGACACGGAAGATGCAGGAATGGGGTGATGCCCACATGCCCTCCCCTTTTCTTCAGGCTGTTGGCTGGCTTCGAGTTCCCTCCCTGTGCAGAGAGGGCTTCTGTAGGATGGATGGGGAAGGAGCTGTGTTCATCGGGGCTTTGTGAGAGCCTGGACCTCAACCTGCAGGGTGTGTGCGGAATCGAGCCAACCTCCCTGTCCTAGCCCTGAGCACGGAGCCTGGCCGGCACCCTATTGGAGGAGACCAGAAGAGCAGGGTTTTTATGAGGACAGCAGAAGCAGTATGGGGAGACCCTGGGAACTCCCTGAAATAGCAGGAGAGACACTACATGGGGAAAGAGGGTGCAGGCATGAGGTGGGAGCTAAGAGAGTTGGCTGCAGACATGCTGGTGGGAGCTAATTCGGTAATTCGGGTGTTAATGACAATATAACCTCACTTGCACCTACATTGGCTGATGCCTCTGTCTTTCCTTGTTTTCCTGATTTGAATGAATATCTCATTTAAAGCTTTTGCATTTTGGTTTCTCATTGACCAAAACCAGCATCCATTCAGTCTTCAAAGAGCAGTTTTTCACCAAGAGAATCTGAAAATCAAGGATCTAGCCTATCTCTCTCCCTTTCTTTGGATAGGATAGCAGGTAATATTAATTCAGGAATAATTGGAATATTATACTTTATTTATTTTTTATTTTATTTTATTTATATTATACTTTATTTATTTTTTATTTTATTTTATTTATATTTTATTTATTTTTATTTTATTTTTATTTATTTATTTATTTATTTTACACAGAGGAAAGAAGAGGGATAGAGAGCTAGAAATGTCAATGAGAGAGAAACATCAACCAGCTACCTCTTGCACACCCCCAACTGGGGATGTGCCCGCAGCCAAGGTACATGCCCTTGACCGGAATCGATCCCGGGACCCTTCAGTCTACAGGCCGACGCTCTATCCACTGAGCTAAACCGGTTTCAGCTGGAATATTATACTACTTTAAAAGAAACTTCCAGAAATATTTTCCCCATAACATCCCAAGAGAAGTTAGTCATATTTTGGAGTACTTTCAACACTGGTTAGAAATTTATTAGCTCACAAATAAAATACAAGTAATCTGGGCCCCTGACTATAAGTTCTGCCCCTCCTCTTTGCTTCCAGCCGGCTCAATGCATGAGAACCACGATCTTGAGGTGTCTTCTGACTAGCCTTGCGCAGGCATGGCCACTGTTCTTACCTAGCTGTAGATGTGGCTGGTTGTCATGCTGATTCTACTGGAGCATCACTTTGCTTAGGAACTAAATAAATCTTCAGTCGCATCTGTCCAGTTTGAGCCAGTTTCTTTGGAGTCTGGACACACGAGGGGGGCTTCAGAGAGTAGTTTACTTTGTGGGAAACAGAAGGAAAAAGGAAGCTGAGATCTACTGCCTGCCCAGGCCGAGTGTCTCTTGAGCCAAAGTTACCAGCTCTCCCATGAGGGCTTCCTGGGGCCGGAACACCGCAGTTTGTTTTCAGGGCTGAAACCAGCTGGCTGTTACTTGGAAAGGAAAGGTGGGCAGGTCCACATAGCCCGCCCCGCAGGGGGCCCCTGCTCTCTGGTTAGGAACGGGGAGCCCTAAAGACTGAGGAGTTGTGGGGCACAGGGCTCAGGCGGAAGAGCCAAGGAGGGAACCTACCAGAGGCGTGGCGAACGCAGAAGCAGCTTGCCTGGTGTTCTGGCTTCGAGCTAGGCCTTTACCTGTAATCGCCCGAAGGCAGAGGCTTCAAGGACCCCGGACTAGGGTTGAGGCTGGTGGTCCCATCCTCTTCCACGCCTGACCCTTCTCAAGGTGGCCTTTCTATGCCCCCTCCCCCCTGGGGCTTCCCTTTGACAGGAGGCGTGGCTTCCAGTCCCTCCAGAGAGAACGAAATGTTTCAAGAGGAAGGCTGCTCCCAAAGCTTGGGTGCTGGGCAGGGAGGTGGCCCCTCGTCATGGCAGCTGTGCTGTGGCTGTCTCCGGGCCGCCCTCCTCCCTGGTCCACACACCCCCCCGCTTACGAGGGGACAGCGCTGTCTCTGTCACAACTCATGATGCCTTTGTCACCACGAAGCAGGACCTCCCTGAGCCCCTGGCCGGCTGCATTGGCTTCCAGGGGTCCAGGCCATAAGAAGAGGTCACGTTGACCCATTTGAAAGCTGCTCCCCTTTTCTTTCCCCTACACTACCCCCCACCCCCCTCCCAACCACTGCTTACTTCTGCTTCTTTGGCCCCTCCTCCTTCTGAACAAGTGAGTCGTTAGAGAAATGATCCCCACGGCTGTGATCAGTACGCAGGTGATGAGAATGGACATCCTGGAAGGAACCACAGACACTTTTATGTCCCTTGGAAGAGACCACGTTTTGACTCTCTGCTCAGGATCCCGTTGTCTGAGATCAGCCCCCGCCGCCCTGTTCCTGCCCCAGCCAGTTCTCCAGCAGCTCCTGCCAAGTGTGTATATGTGTATGCCTTCCGAGGGGCCGCCGCCCTCCAGGCCGCACTTGATCGCACCCAGGGCGGGTGTGTGTCTGCGCTGGGCTGAGTCCCTTCCTCAGAAACCAGCCTGAGACCTGGAGGAGAAGGATCCAGTCTCAGACTAACCAGGCCTTTGAAGGGGAGACAAGAACTCAGGAGCTAGACATGGATATCTTCTCCCAGGGCAAGATGAAGGACAGGGAGCAGGACGGGGGGGAAGGCAAACACACGCAAGACCAGCCAATGGGAGACGGAGATGAAGTTCCCGCTGACTGAGGGCGGCCGCGTCCTGCCCTTGCATTTGTGAGACACCACTCTCTCCTTTCAAATGAAAACAGGTTGTGGCATCTTGTGACCCAGAGCTCTAAACTGTATCCTTTGGGAAGGAACCATATGGTCACGTTGGGGAGACCTTGTTGAGGTGGAGAAACTATGCCGCTGAAAGTGGCGGATGTGAGTGCATGGTCGCGTCTGCTCACCAGTAGTGATCTGCCTTGTACACAAGTTTGGAAGCCCTGCAGCTTCTGTTCGTGTTCCTTGGCGCATCTGCATCAGAAAGAAAGGATTTGCTAAGAGCCAAGCAAGGCCCGTTCCCAGGCCCACCCTTTGCCTCTGCATCTCCGTCTGGCATTCCTTCAATCTCCCCCGCGTGCGTGATGGCTGGTCATGCAGAGGCACCACGCACCGTGGCATGACAGGTACCCTGCAGGGAGCGAGGTCGAGGGAACGAGACACCGCACTCAGCTCGCTGAGCCACCGCTGTAGGGGCGCCCCCACATGGACCCCTGGCATGCCCCTACCCTTCATAGACCAAAAGTCACCGGTGTGGGCTCCTCTGGAGTCAGTCACGACCAGCTCGGTGAAGTCCATGTCATCCCGGGCAAAGTCCCGCTGGATGCCGCACCAGTACCAGCCCGCGTCCTCTTTGGTCAGGCAGGGCACGGTGACAATGAGCTGCTCCCCCGTGTCCCTCAGGGCCACGCGGCCGGTGCTGTTGGGGGTGAAGGCGATGATGCTGCAGTAGTCCCGGTAGTAGCCTCGGCACCAGTACTTGAGGTGGTCCTTGTAGTGGGCGGCGTAGCTGCAGACGGCAGACATCGTGTCCAGCACAGAGCTCTCCTTGAGCTTTTTGTCCATGACCATGGCTTCTGTAAAAACAAAAACAAAAACACGGAGCCAGGAGAGGTAAGGGGGGACCAACAGTGATGGGGACACTTGGCTCAGAGTGGTGGACACACAATACAGTGTACAGATGATACAGAGTTATGTAGTTCATAACTACATAATGTTATGAACTAATTCACGCCAATAAACTCAATAAAAAACATGACACACACACACACACACACGCACACGCACGCACGCACACGTACAAAAACACCAGTGTTCTTTTAACGGGTTGTAGCTTCTGCCCTCCTTGAGGAAAATTAATGAAAACACTGAAGGCTGATTTTTGCCTGTTGGGGGTTGGCAACTCTTAGGGGCTGAGTGGTGTGAACCCTAAAACTCATACATTGAAGTGCTTACCCCCCGTCCCTCAGAATGTGACTGTGCTTGGAGACAGGGCCTTGAAGTGGGCAGTTACATTGAAATGGGGCTGTTAGAATGGGCCCTAGACCAACATGACTGTTGTCCTTAAAAAAGGAGATCAGGACACACGACGGAGGGAACGACCGTGTGAGGATACAGCAAGAAGGCCGCCCTCTGCAAACCAAGGAGGGAGGCCTCAGGAGGAGCCAAACCTGCCAACACCTTGACCTTATGCTTCTAGCCTCCATGACCACGTGGAACTAAATCTCTGTTGTCTAAGCTGCCAGTCTGTGAGGCGTGTTACAGCAGGCCTAGCGAATGCTTAGCAAATGAACATAGCAGCCCTGGAGAAGTGTTCCTCCCTGGCCTCTGGACAGGTAAAATATCCCCCCTCTTCCCCCACCCCCACCCCCCACCCCCATCTGCAAGGACTGAGGAGGCCTCTCACATTGCTTGGCGGGAGGCTTGAAGAGCCTGAGGCTTACCGTTCACAGATCCTCTGCCCTCAGCCACGCTCCCCCACAGTCCACCCCGGACCCTCAAAAAGAAAATGAGAAGGTTTGGGGGCTTCTGTTGACTGTCTGGGGCGGTTCTTAGAGGCCAAGAACTTTTCATTTCCTCCCTACAAGGCCAGCACGAGCACCTCTGTCATCTGAGAGTATTGCATAGCGAGGAAGTCGTGCACACCACGTCCAGCTTGACCCCGGCTGGGGAAGTGTCCAGCCAAGGAGAAGAGAGGGGGGCAGCAGCCCATCTGTGTGAGCCTCCAGATGTGTGCTGGGATCCCCTCAAACGCCAGCTCCGGCGTGGCTCACGGTGAGCGGGGACTGGCCTGCAAGGCAGACTCGTGTCCTTGGTACCAATGGATATCACTTGGTATTTTGTTCTCATATCCACCTCACAAGGAAGATCATGTGATGCTCAGTTCACAGGAAGAGGCACTGACCCACAGAGACCCCAGCAACTCTCAAAGGTCACGGCTGGAGCGACAGAGCCAGGGCCAGCCCAGTCCTCCCAGTCTCATCTTTGGCTCAGTGGATAGAGCGTCGGTCTGCGGACTGAAAGGTCCCAGGTTCAATTCTGGTCAAGGGCATGTACATTGGTTGCGGGCACATCCCCGGTAGGGGGTGTGCAAGAGGCAGCTGGTCGATGTTTCTCTCTCATTGACGTTTCTAGCTCTCTATCTCTCTCCCTTTCTCTCTGTAATAAATAAAAAAGAGAATGGGCAGAAAGGGAAACGTCTTACTCTCGTATATCTGCAGAAATGTTTTTTGAAGGGGATACGGGGGAAGGGAAGAGGAACTTAAACTGAAAGAGAGAATGCAGGGCCCTCATTTTAGCCGAGGGTTTCAAATTCCCTACAGCTCTCTAGTCAGAGCTAAGAACAAGAACTATTTTTGGGCAAGATCTATTTTACCTCCTATTTTCCCATCCCACTCCTTTGGCAGCGGGAGCTAATAAGGAGGAGAGGAGGTGGTACTGGAAGGTCCCTGGGAGGTTGGGGAGGCTGGCGACACTTCTCCCCATGTCTTACCTGAAAGGACAGTCAGGGAGAGCAGAACGAAGAGCCCCATGGCTGAACGGAAATGAGCCTCCAGTGGCCAGAGGCACCCAGGGGTCTCAGCAATCCTGGATCTGTTTAAGAGAAACAGGTATCTCTGAGCTCAAGGTGGTTCTATCCTTTTTGGAGAAACCAGGGGAGAGGGAACAACTGCTGCCATGTTCAGGTGTCCATCACATGATGGCACCAGGGTACCTCATTGGAGGAATACCATTCATGATCGTGAATGTATAGGATAAAGTGGGGCAACTGAGAAAATCCTGGGCTTCCTGGCAGAGCCCCAAGCAGGCATGGAAATCCCCAACCTGGATGAATCCACCTGGACACAATCAGAGGAGCACACGGGCACCTGTCGCTGGCACATGCTCGTGTGTGCAGCTGTACCTCGCCCTGCCAAGGTTCCGGGTATCCCAGTGGCCACTGCTCGGGCCCACCACTCTTGCTCAGTTCCTCTTTAGCGCAGAGGAAGACTAGCAAGGAGGTTCCTAACTCCCTGCCTCCCAAGGTAGACGCAGAAGCCTCCCTGGGGGTGGGGTCAGGGCTGGAACATGAAGCTGTCAGTAGCAGATGTGTCCGGTGGTGTCTGCAACACGTGAGCAGGCCCACAAGCAGCCCAGGAAACCAGCCCCTTATCTCCAGTCAGAGGCTCAGGGGCCAGAAGTCAGACGAGCAGGAAGCTAGTACTAGCCCAGACCTCCCAACAATAACCCATCCACCATCAGCCCTGAGCGGCCAGGACTTGATATACTGACAGCTCCCCTACATTCTCCTCCTGCTTCCAGCTTGGGGGCAGCCAGAGAAAGGCCAATGTGCCCCCCTAACCAAGCACACAAGAGGTGCCCCTGTAGTTAGCCCGCCTGCAGCTTCCCCAGGACAGCAGCCTCCGGCCAGGCCCCACAGCCTCCTTTCTCCCCAAACAGAGCTTCCCCGCTGTTCTGCCCGCCTCTGAGTCTCTGCCAAGACGCAGGGTGGTGGCTGACTCCCTTGTTACAGTGAACCCGGAAGAAATGGCCTTTGCTATTCTCATCTGGTCTTAGCTTATTTCCATAGCGGCCTTGATAAAACAATGGGCAAACAGACCCACCTACTCAATATCTGCCTGGGTTCCGGGGAAACCATACAGGGGAGGAGGAACCTTCGTTGTGTCAGGGTGGTCTTCCCACCTTATTCCTTCGGAATAAAAGCCCAACAGCCGCCCTCCGGTGTGCAGCCGAAGGGCGCTAGCCAGGAGCTGGAGTCGGGGAGACCCTGTGGTGTAATCTCTAAACCTGAAGCCAGCGTGGGACTCACCGCTTCTACCCAAGCTCCTCACGCGTGATTCTTGGTTCATCTCTTTTTTAATTCACTCCTAGGGACATTTCTACTTTAATGGCTACTTCTGGGCTGGTGGGACACCCACATGACCAAAAAATAAATAAAAAATTAGCTCCATTGGGAAGAAAAACAAAGAGGAGGAGGAGGAAGAGGAGGAGGAGGAGGAGGAGGAAGGGAGAAAAGAAAACAGTGTTTTCCTGACTCTCAGGAGCTACAGCCCCTAGGATGACATCAGATGACCCAGGACAGACTGCTGTTTTGTTTGGTGGGAAATGATCACTTTATATCAAGTTTCCAAAAAGGGCTGATGCTGAGTGTTGCTACAGCAATGAAGTGCAAGACTGCAAATGAAGAAGCTCATGTGAAGACCAGTGGGGACTGAGAAGGAACCAGTACCTCCCTCGAGTAGCCATCTGGGAAAGGTGGTTCCTGGGCAGATCGCTGTACGGGGGTCACCAGCAGCCCCAGAGGCAGCCCAGGGCCTTGTCCCGGAGGTGCTTTCTAACTACACAGACATTTAATTCAGTGGGGGAGCCTTAGATACCCCTAAGAAAAAAACCTGGGCAGTGGGTGTAATTCTTAAGGAAAAATATCCCCCAAAATGTTGAACGGAAGAGATTGTCAGGAATAAAGCCATTGCCCACGCCCAGGGACCGACAGGGACAGTGGGGGCTGTTCCGGTTCTTCTCCCTGGAAGATGTGATTGTGAGTGACGCCAGGAAGTGGACGGGTGGGGTGACCAAGTTGAACTTCCCAGTGTTGATTCTTCCTGGGGTGACAGGAGGAGAAACAAGGACCCTTCCCTGAAACGTTAACCAGATAAACATGATCATCAGGCTCCAGCCTAAGACGGTGGTCCAGAGAAACTTTCAGGACTTGGCTACGAATTAATAAACACCATTTCAGCGACTTATCCTGTGGGACATAGTTACACTGAAATCCCCATCCTGCGGCTCTCACCAAGCTAATGTACTTACTGTGTTGGGAGTGAGAGTCCACAGATGCGAATTTGGGTGGACAAGCCAGAGATGTCACCTTGACTCTCCAAAGCCACACTCAGTGCTTGAAGGATGTGACATAAACTCTGTCCCCGTGTGGTGTACTGATTAATAAGAGATAACTAAGGCGGGGGCGGGGGGGGGGGGCAGGGAAGAAGAGGAAGCCAGCAGCCCTCGAGTACACAAATCATAGCTTGTGCCCATGCATCTGCTACTGGTCCATTAGGTGAACTTGAGGGTTTGGACTTTGGAGCAGCTCTGAGTCCCTCTTCATGCCTGAGAATAGGTGCTGAGAATCTGGGGTCCTCCCATAAGGTAGGGTTGAGTTTATATCCTGGTTCTCCTGCTTGTTAATTGCGTGACTATAGACAGATTACCTAGCCCAATGGTCGGCAAACTCATTAGTCAACAGAGCCAACTATCAACAGTACAGCGATTGAAATTTCTTTGGAGAGCCACATTTTTTAAAACTTCTTCTAACACCACTTCTTCAAAATAGATTCGCCCAGGTTGCGGTATTTTGTGGAAGAGCCACACTCAAGGGGCCAAAGAACCGCATGTGGCTCGCGAGCCGCAGTTTGCCGACCATGGACCTCACCTCTCAGTTCTTTCATCTGCAAAATGGAGGTGATAGTACTGGTGGTACCTACCTCAAAGATTGTCAAGATCTAAAAAGATAATGCATGCGCAGTGCTTAGTGCATTGAAAGTACCCAACAGACACTAACTATGCCCTTGTCTCTTTCTGCCCCGCCCCCACTACTCCCATTACAATGAAACACCAGAGGAACTACTAGGACTCAGCTCTCGAGGGAGAATCATTCCTTCCTTATCAATCCACGAATGGATCATAAAGTTGACAGGTGCTCCAATCAGCCCAGGAAAAGGGAGCAGAGTGAGTTGGGGTAAGCAGTGAGGGGCCCAGAATTCATACAGGCGAACATGCCACGTGGCTCCGGGTAGCAAGTAGGCTGAATGCCAAGAGCTGGATCTTCAAGCCCCAAGTGACCCTGGCCTTTAGCAAAGAGCTCCACAATTGTTGGTTTTCATCTTTATTGACTCAGATACATTTACATATGGATTTGGCAGTGTAAGTACCCCCTTAAGCTCAGCTCACTCCTGTTCCCGCCGTCTCCCGGGCATCTACTGAGAGCAGGGTCTGTGGAGTAGAACTGAGTCACCACCACACACATGTTCAGCCTGAACTGAAACTTTTGTCAGTAAGTCAGTGAGGCATCCTTCAGATTCGGTGACTCCTTTTGGGAGCAAGGAGGAACATGGGCAATATTAACAATAATAGAACATTTTACCCAAGTCAGGCATCCAGAGAATTGAATTAGGAAGGATTGACAAAAGTAAAAAATCAAATTAGAGGCAGAGGGTAGTAGAAGAGGTATAATTGGAGACAGCCGGCCAAATGCTCCCCACATCAGTGGGGGGAATTAAGGATGTGAAAGACCTTGGCCCAGGACCTGAATTGAATGTTGATGTTGAATCTGAAGGTCAGTTGGGCAGACAATCATCTTTCGTGGATAACTACTAAGAAATCTGTTCAATATTTGGGTCCAAGGAATTGGAGGGCTGGCAGTTCATACAGGCTTTGAAGATCAAGAGATAGGTCTCCTTGAACTTTTTTATTTTAAAGGCATAGACGATAGGGTTCATCATGGAGTTAGCATGAGACAGCAGGATACCCAAGTTCAACACCACCTCGGGCACTTCACCATTAAAGTAGGTGATACAGTTGATGATGGACAAAGGCAGCCAGGACAAAGCAAACAGGAAGAGAACCAGGAACAAGGACTTGGCCGTCTTGAACTCCCGTCCATAAAATGTACCGGTCTCTTTGGTGTTTGAAAAGTTCAGACTGAGTTTGTTCCGGATGATGCAGAAGATGTCGACATAGATGGCGCACATGGCAATCAGGGGAATGAAAATCCAAGTGAAGAAGCTGAAGTACACCATGTAGTCCAACCTCATGACAGAACGAAACTGGCAAGGAATGAAGGTCTCGTTTTGGGGGGACTCCGAGGACAGTTTCGTGTTCCAGCCGAACATGGGGGTCAACCCCACCAGGATTGACAGCAGCCAGCAAAGGCCCAGGGCGCACCATATTCTCCTCTGAGTGGTGACCCTCCTGTATCTGTTTGAACGGGAGAGAGTGGGTGAGTTCACGGCATTTGCTCAAGGACGGGGGAGGCGGAGCTGGCCCAGGAATGAGGAATATGGAGTTGGTATTCTATGATGATTTTGGCTAAATGCTGGATCTGAAGATGAGATGAACAAACAACAACTAGAGGAAAATACGAAAACCTCTCTGGGAGGGCTTTCTAAAGAAGCATGATCTGGCCCTCTCCGTGTGGCTCAGTGGTTAATGCCAATCTCTGAACCAAGAGCTCATTGTTTTGATTCCCGGTCAGAGCACATGCCCAGTTTGCGGGCTCAATCCCTAGTAGGAGGTGTGCAGGAGGCAGCCAATCCATGATTCTTTCCCATCGTTGATGTTTGTCTCTCTCTCTCCCTCTCCCTTCCTCTCTCTGAAATAAATTTTAAAAACATATTTAAAAGAAGTATGATCTGTAACGGAGCAGGTGCTCACATACTCCATGCACAAGTCCATTTCCAGCCCAAGAATTCTTCAGTTCCTGGGAGATAAGTCAGTCATCTAAGTCTCCTGGCATGGCCTACCTGGTGAGAAATGATCTCAAAGCCTGTTTGCCTGCATCCTCTGCTCGTTGGGTTGCTTTTTTGTTCTGAAGTCCTTTAATTATACTCTGCCTCCCCCACACTCACTCTGCCTTTGAATACCCTGCTTCTCTTCTTACACTGACACCACACTTGGTGTTTGAGTTCAGTGACTGTGGAGCTGGGAAGGTCATGTTGAAATGCTTCCAGGACCATAAATGCTCCTCCATTGAGTGTCTCCATTTCTCTTTAAACCATCCTTCCTGACAACGTTCTGCACAGAAGGACACAGACTTTGTTAAGTACTGTGCACTTAGTAGACTTTCTCTTAATGAAATCTCACAATTTTTACGAGAATCTCCATTTCATTAATAATAGGGGAAATAGCCGAAACTGGTTTGGCTCAGTGGATAGAGCATCGGCCTGCGACTGAAAGGTCCCAGGTTTGATTCCGGTCAAGGGCATGTACCTTGGTTGCGGGCACATCCCCAGTAGGGGGTGTGCAGGAGGCAGCTAATGGATGATTCTCTCTCATCGATGTTTCTAACTCTCTATCCCTCTCTCTTCCTCTCTGTAAAATATCAATAAAATATATTTTAAAAAAATAATAGGGGAAATAAATAGTAGCGTTACCATTTATTGAGCCTAGACTGTGGGCAGGCATTGTTCTAAGAGCTCTGCGAATGTTAATCCACTTAATCCTGCGAGGAAGGTGCAATCACTGTCCCCCTTTCACAGGTGAGAAGAATGAACCCGACAAGTTAAGTAACTTGTACAGATCACAATGGAGCAGCTCACATTGAGAAGAGGGAAGGCGCAGAGCATCTTAACCATTATGGGGTAAGATGAGGAACCGAGGAAGAGAAAGTTCTATCATATTCCCAAGATCAGATCTCAAGGTCTGGGATTTGAACCCAGGTTTGTTTGTATCAAAAGCTTGTCTACAGCTCCCTCCCCGAGATCCTTCCCTGAGAGGAGAGAGGAGAAACATGAGATGGAAGCAGTCAGGGGAATCGGATTCCTCCATGAGGTGGTCCGCTCCACTCACTCGGTCACACGAAAGATTGTTATTACTCTGAGCAATGGGGAACTTTTTTGGTCCCCTTCTCGACATGGAGGAGGAAGCAACATGGAAACAACTTTAACCCGCACTTATTTGCAAAGAAGAGAAGCTCGACCTTATCTTAGATGTCTGTTCCTTATCTTATCTAGTAGGTTTCTATCATCGTTTTAAAAGTCCAGAGCGTTGTTTTGCTAATAAAAAATGCATCAAGCTTTTATTGTCGCTGGCTCCCCTGGCTGATCCAGCACCCACACCCTGAGTCCTCTTTCTCGCTCCCGAGTCTCAGCACGTCACCGTCGAAGGCCCCCCCCTCCCCCCCTCCCCCCCCATCCAATGGTGACATGAACCTCTTTCAGGCTCAGGGGCTAATTGGGATTTGCTTTTGTTCAAAAAGTCTGGGGCCTGAAACTTGATAGCCCTGTTTCCCAGGCACCTCCATCACCGCCCTGCCCCGCCCCTCTTCCAGCAGGTTACCTGACCGTGAGCTTGACCCGCAGGTATCGGTCCACAGCGATGGCTAGCAAGAACATGATGGAGGCGTGCGTGAAGACCAGCAGCAGGCAGGTCATGAGAAGGCAGCTGTAGAAGTGGACCCTGATGCCCAGGCTGATGGCCACGGCCAGGGGCATGACCAACATCCCAACAGCAATGTCCGCCAGGGCCAGGGAGACAATGAAATAGAAGGTGGTGGTCTGCAGGCTGGGGTTCAGCTTGACCACCCAAACGACCAGTACGTTGCCCACGATGGCGCAGAGCCCGATGACAATCTCCATGGCGATGTAGGCTATGTTGGCCAACGTCAGGGTGGTGCTGTGGTCAGGCATCTTGGTCTCCCAGGGGCGTCTCCCAGGTGGCAGGTGCACAAACAGGCTCCAGGCGGGCCGGGGAGTCCAGCTCTTCCTGGAGGTCCAGGTGCAGCAGCCGCCGCCTAATGGTTAAGATGCTCACCACTCGCCCATGCCTTCTGTTCTCTGGTGGGGCGCTCCCCTGGAGGACGTCCGCTCTCTAGAGAGAGCCCGTCACAGGGCTCACTTCCAGCCCTTCTGCCGGCCACACATCCCCGGGCTCCCCAAAGCTCCTCGAGCTGAATCTGAAAGAGCCGCTGCTCTTAGTTCCCCAGATAGACGCGCTCAGGGGCTCCGCCTCCCCCTGTCCATAGGGCTCACGAAGCTCCATCGAGATAAGCAGCCCTCGTCGGGCAGGGTGTTTCAGGAAGTGAGATGGGCCAAGAGGAAGCACAGAGCCAGGAACCCTCAGCAAGAAGATGGAGAGGACGGAGGAGGGGGTGTGAGTGGCCCGGGGAAAGCTCAGCATTCTGCGCTCAGGACCGGATGCTGGATGCTAGCATAGCAGGGAGGGAGAGGCGCCGGGAGCTCTGACAGCGGACTATCCTGGCTTTCTGCTGGCTTAGCAGAAGATCCCGTGACACCGAGGCAAACAGAGGCCCAGAGGAACAAGAAGTGGCCCCTCACCTTCCCCAGAATTCACTTTTCCCACCGCACAGAGCGCAGAGCCCCACTGTGTGTCCCTCCACATTTCACACATGGACATCCACCTCCCAAGACGATGGTCTGTGGAGGCGGGATCCTCGGGAGGTTGCTAGGCCATGAGGGCGGAGCCCTCAGGAATGGGACCAGGGTCCTTATAGGAGAGCCCACAGAGCTCCTCTGCCCCTCCCACATCCATGAAGCAGGAGGTGGTCCTCATCAGACACGGATTCTGCCCGAGCCCTGATCCTGAACTTCCCAGCCTCTTGTTTATAAACCACCTGCTCTGCTGGGCACAAGTGGGACCCAGCCTTCATGTAAAGGTCTTTTGTCATTGGGGACAAGCGAAGGTTCCCTGCTCAGAAGATGCGGCACATCCCGTGGCATCACGTCTGCTCCATCGCCCCTTCCCAGCCCTCACCCCACCTCCCCTCCCCAGCCCTCACCCCACCTCCCCTCCCCAGCCCTCAGCCCACCTCCCCTTCCCACCCCTCACCCCACCTCTCCTTCCCAGCCCTCACCCCACCATACAACCACCTGTGTCAAATCTACTTGAGGGCCAACAGGACGGCAGGATGGCCGGCCATGCAGAAAGGAGGGAAAGAGCAATGTGTTCACGTGATCACAGGGCATCCCCAGCCCCTCTGGTGCCCAAAGCCCACCCCACCCTGAGGAACAGGTGTCTGTCTGGGGATCGGGCCCTTTCCCTGAAGTTGCTCACCTGGTCTCCGCTCGGGGGAACCACACACTCGGAGCGATTGCCAGGCGAGGGCCACTCATCCAGGCGCCTCTCTGTGCCGCCCAAAGGGGTCGTTTACAGAACAGCTGAGCCTCAGCCCACACAGTGGGTTTAAGGTCTGGAATATTTACCTTAAAGCACCAACCTATGCACAGCCCCCAATGCATCCGGCGGTCAACTAAGGGGTGCCTCCGCTGGGGCCTGCCAGGCTCTCCTTGCCACCCATGGGGGCCCACGGCGCCCCAGGCTGGCAGGCCCACGTCTGTCTGAGCGCCTGCCCTGCCCCGTCTCCCTGAGCCAACTCCCCAGACGCGAAGGGGCCTCTGACTGCATCCCCTTCCTGGCTTCCACGTGGTCATTGTCAACGTCTCCCCTGAAACCGCTCTCTTTATCTCCCCTCAGAGAAGGAAGCCGCGGGAGCCAGTCCAGGAGGCTGTGCTGGTGGGGCGGCTGCTCTCACCCCGCAGCGATCTCTGAGTCACTCTGAAAAGCGCACCCTCCCCCCGCCCCTCCCGCCCAGGGCAGCCAGGAGCCGATGGAGAAAGGCCCTCTAGGACCTAGGAGGGGAGCCAGGTCCGCTCGCACCCAGCCCGGCTGCCAGGGAGGCGGCTCCATGAGGGAGAGCTGGGGGGTGACACAGGGCTCCTACAAGCAAAGCTCAGGTGCCGATGGAGGGGTGGTCAGGCCGGGAAGTGTCCGAGCCACGGAGCCAGCCCCTGAGGGGCGTGTTTTATGACATCTGCCCCTCTCTGCCCCTCGGCGCCCAGGGGAGCCCGTCTCAGCTGCGTGAGAGAAGCCAGGGAAAGAGCAGCTGGTGGGGACAGGATAGCCCGGGAGACGTTAACCCCTGTGACAGAGGAGAGGCAGGGCACACGCTGGGGGCCACCGGCCACGCCACCACGTCGCACCCAGGACTCCGTCTCCAGAACGCCCTGTGCAGACCTGGGACTGCCTCTCTCTCGTTCTGAGCAGAGAGAGCCTTTGGGTCACTCCACATCGGGGCTGAGGACGGGGCCTGAGTGTCCTCTCCGCCAAAGGGCGCAGGGGACAGAGGACAGGAGTCCTGGTTACGTAGCTGCCCCACCACCTCGTGCGGGGACCTCCTCCCCCTCCTCACCCACCCTGGAGGCCAGGTTCCCTCACAGCCTCCGGCGGCCCCCAAGGTCAAGACCACGCTCCTTGGAATGGCCAGGGGGCCCTTTGCGATGGGGCCTCCTGGCCCCTGCAGCCTCCCGTCGCCTGATTTCCCAGAAACCACGGGCCCCCGGGCGGATCCCCGGGGCTGGAGGCAGCTTTCACTTCCCCGCCCCTGCACACGGGCTCCGTCCGGGCCGGCCGGGAGGCCTGGGAAACAAGCCCGGTCCCCGCCAGGCTGCCTGGGAGCCAGGCCTGGGGGAAAGTGCCAGGCGCCGCCCCTCCTGGCGCCCCGAGATGCTGAGCTTCTCCTGCAAGCTCTGGAGGGCAGCGCCCCGACTTCCCTGCCTGCTGCCTGTCCCCCGAGCAGGGCCTGGCGGGTGGCGGGTGCTCAGTCTAAGGAGACATGACCTGCTAGGCAAGCGCCTCTGGGAGCCCGGACTGCACTCAGCACCAGTAACTCGCCAGGACTGCTCCCCATGGTCATAGCTGCTGTGTTCGCCGCTGGACTTACACGTCCTGATTCACTGCTCTCCCATGAAAGACAGACCGTCGTCACCGCGGAGCCAGCTGGGCTCAGAGGGGGTAAGCTCCTTGCCCAGGGGCGCACAGCGAGGGCGTGGGGTCCCTGCCCGGGGCCCTGGCTGCAGGGCACAGGGTCCGAACCTCGGCCTTCGTTGAAGGAATGAGCTGGCGAAGGACCTCTCGAGGCTTTCATGGACGAGCCCCTAGGTCTGAGGGCGCCGGGTGGTCAGGGGGAGGTCCTAACCTCACGTCCAGAAAAGAAAGGAGTGGCCAAGGCCATGGGAGCTAAGCGCAGGTATAGGCAGGTCGGGCCGCAGCCCTGAGTTAGGGAGAGAGGGAGGCACCAGGCAGACGACGCTGCACACACACACACACACACACACACACACACATACACACACCGGCCACTGGGGCTGGGGTCCGAGGGAGACCTCGGTCAGAAAGAAAAGCCTCCCTTTGGACCAAGATGCCAAAAAATATTATCCTATATCATAATAGCCTCATATGAATGGTCAACCGATCGGCCGTTCAACCAATCAAAGCGTAATATGCTAATGATATGCTAAGGCTGCTCAACCCCTCGCTATGGCATGCACTGATCACCGGGGGCAGGCAGGACACTGGTAGGCCAGTTGCTGGGATGTGCACTGACCACCAGGGGGAAGAAGGTCTGACCAGTAGGTTAGCTTGCTGCTGGGGTCCAGCTGATAGGGACTGAGCAAGATGGCTGGACACACCCTGGAGCCCTCCCCGCAGCTGACCAATATACTGAGTTCTTCCCTGGCCCTGATCATGCACCGGTGGGTCCCTTGGCCTGGCCTGCACCTTCTCACAACCCAGGCCCCCTTGGGGGAAGTTGGAGAGCCAGTTTCAGCCCGATCCCACAGGCCAGGCCCGATCCCACAGGCCAGGCCCGATCCCACAGGCCAGGCCCGATCCCACAGGCCACTGGTGCACGAATTCATGCACTGGGCCTCTAGTTCTTTTCTTTTCTTTTAACACATATTTTATTGATTTGTTTTTTTTTTACAGAGAGGAAGGGAGAGGGACAGAGAGCTAGAAACATCAATGAAAGAGAAACATCGACCAGCTGCCTCCTGCACGCCCCACTGGGGATGTGCCTGCAACCAAGGTACATGCCCTTGACTGGAACTGAACCTAAGACCTTTCAGTCCGCAGGCCGACACTCTATCCACGGAGCCAAACCAGTTTCAACTGGGCCTCTAGTTCTAAATAATAAAATAAACTACAAGTGAAATGTGGCTCAGGGATTTTCCCATAAAAGGAGTGTCATGTTGGTTTTGGTTTTACTAAAGAACTTGAACTTGGTCGAGGAGGCAAGGCTGTGGGAGGAAAGGCCATTGGAGCCCTGAGGAAAGGCTTGCCCTGTACCCAGCCCGGGTCGGAGCCTCCTGGCCAAGAGCTCACCCACAAGCCTGTAGCCTTGACCTTGGGGTTCTGCTTAACATCCCGAGAGGCTGGCCAGAGACTCTCAGAGATTTTGCAGCTTCTCAGGTCAGTCTGGGAAACCCCAGCAGCCAGCCTGCAAAGGCAGCAAGAGACAGCGTGAGCAGGGCCCGGGCAGGGAGGCGGGCCCCACGGCGGGTGCAGGTGGCAGCCGAGACAGGATGTCGGGCAGGCGGGAGGTGGCCGCTTCTGTGGGGCTGGCTCTCCCGGGCCCACTGCTGCCTGCAGAATTGCACAAAATCAGTGTGCTCACTTCCTCTCGGCTCCGGGCGACTTCCCCAAAGCCTCGCAGAGCTTTAGTCTTGCTGGCCAACGGCAGGGGCTTAGGAAGGACGAGGACCCACAGTCAGCCCAGCGAGGTGGCCGGCCCTGACTCCCGGCTCCCAGCAGCCTGCCCTCCTCGCCGCTCCGGCCGGAGGGCGGAGGCTGGGCCCGTCAGATGGCTTCCTGCAGGCGCTGGCCTGGAGCCCCTGTCCCCGGGGGACTTCTTACTGCGGCCCAGTGACCTGAGCCAATCCAGGGGTGGCCCCAGAGCCAGGGCCCCCTGAGACCTGCAGAGTTCAGGAGGCTCCCCTAGAGCCCAGGAAGGCTGTGTGTGTGTGTGTGTGTGTGTGTGTATGGTGTGTGTGTGTGTGTGTATGGTGTGTGTGTGTGTGTATGGTGTGTGTATGGTGTGTGTGTGTGTGTGTGTGTATGGTGTGTGGTGTGTGTGTATGGTGTGTGTGTGTGTGTGTGTGTATGGTGCGTGTGTGTGTATGGTGTGTGTGTGTGTGTATGGTGTGTGTATGGTGTGTGTGTGTGTGTGTGTATGGTGTGTGTGTGTGTGTATGGTGTGTGTGTGGTGTGTGTGTGTGTATGGTGTGTGTGTGTGTGTGTGGTGTGTGTATGGTGTGTGTATGGTGTGTGTGTGTGTGTATGGTGTGTGTATGGTGTGTGTGTGTGTGTGTGTGTATGGTGTGTGTGTGTGTGTATGGTGTGTGTGTGTGTGTGTG